ACGATTAAGGACAAGCACATTAAGCTCCTCCAGCGCGAACCTAAGACCCTGACTCAGCGCGGGCCCGCCGCCAGCAGTGCACCCGCACCCTGGACAACAGAAGGCAAGGCAGCCGCGCCGGCACCAGTGCGTGAGCGGTGGGCAGGCGCCATCGGCTCCGCCACCCCCTCTCGTTGGCACGAATGGCAGGAGTGGGAATCCAGGAGCCACCAGAGTGCACCCTGGGCTGGATCAGACTGGAAAGGGAAAGGCAAGCGCTACCCCCCCAGAGGTGACGACCCATATACAGACAAGCGTGCACGATAGTGGGACAGGAGGGAATAGCACGCCCCGGGACGAGCAAGCCCGGGTGACTGGACAGCGCGACCACCGACCTCCGGGCCTGTCGCACGACGAACCCCCCACCTCGCTACCCTAGCCTCACAGGCCGGGCATAGTTTCACCTTGCAGCGCCTGGCCTCGGCCATAATACCCTGGGCCAGCTCTCGCTGGGGCGAGTGGCTCCCCGCGTCTCACCCAATGGCGCAGCAGTCCTAGACAGCCGGGGGGGCCAGCCCGCAGGCCCCGCCCTCCCCTTGGGCGTGCCTGCCTTGCTGACGCACCCTCACAGGCGTCGCTCGGCTGTCCACCAGACAGCCGCCAGCTGCCAGTCGCAGGGGCTGGTTGCCCGGGATAGTCACCCCCCCACTGGCCGCGCAGCCGCGCCTCGGCAGTTGGCAGGCAAGGCACGGCATTCGGCCCCTCACTTGGCGAGTCCTACGTGGGCGCGTACCGGCCCGAGCCGCATCGACACAGACCTACCACCCCCCATCATTACATGTGTCGCTTGCGGCGGTTAGCTGCCCCCCCCCCCCCCACGCGTGGTGGCACTCTCGGCGTGCAGCAGCTTCCCCGACGCGGCGTGCCTCTTGCGGCGGTTAGCTGCACCCCCCTCTCCACGTCGACTACACGACCTCAGAACGACGGCGGGGACTTGTGTCCGCCAGCCGGCCAGGTGGCCTTTCCCCACTGTGCCCACCAGGCTGCCGTGGCAACTGAGGCAGCCCGAGTGGTTGTCCAGTCGGGCTGGCGGCCTGGAAGGCCAACCTTCCACGGGCTCCGCAGTCTCTTGCAACGGGCACTGGGGCGGGTATCCGCGCGGCTGGTCGTCCTTGAGCACGCGAGGGTCGCCGGTGTCCACCAGTGAGGGTTTTGTGCCGAGCCGCCTTGCCCGTGGGCCTCTTTCACGCGTGTCGCCTGAGTGGTGCCTCAGGCCGCGTCTTAAAGCTTCACCAACGTAGGGGTTCCTGCTTTGCTGTCCCATGGCGGCAGCCTCGCCTGTCGACGCCCAGAGGTCGGCCGTATGCGCCCCCCCCCGGCGCTCTTTGCTGTCCACGGGGCAGCCGCCCGCTGCCGGTGGCAGGGACAGTCGCTTGAAATAGTCGCCTCCCTGCTCGCCGCTCAGCCGTTCTAGGTCAGGTCCCTACAGCTGTGCTGCGTAGTGTTGCGTGACTTGGTCGTTTAGTGGCTCTCAGCGCTGGCGCGCGAATCGTGGCCAGCGTCTGCTGTCGGTGGCGGTGGCGTCGGCCGCGCGCCGAGTGGTTCAGCCTTCGGCGTCGTCGGCCTTCTTCCACCGCGTGCAGCGGGCTTTCCCAGCTGGTACACATCAGGTGTCGCTCCAGCCGTGGCATAGTGTGTTCGGCCTGGTCGCTTAGTGGGCCTCAGCCCTGGCTCACTCCAGCCTATGCCGCTCTGCACCGTGCACTGCCGTGCGACGCTGTGTTCTTGCATCGTAGCCAGCGTCAGCAGTCGTTGGTGGCGACGTGGGCCGCGCTCCGAGTGGTTCAGCCTTCGGCGTCTTCGGCCTTTGTCTATCACTGCGTGCAGCTGGCTTTCCAGGCTGGTACACATCAGGTGCAGCCTCAGCTGTGGCGTAGGGTTCTGACTCGGTCGCTCTGTGGCTCTCTTCGCTGGCAAACTCCAGCCTACGCCACGCTGCGCCGTGCCGCCGCCCCCCCTCTGTGCACTTCGTGGCTCTTGCGGCAGTTAGCTGCACCCCCCGCGCGTGTCCACTCAGTCGGTGCGCAGCTTCCCTTCAGCTTCGCACCGCTGGTACACATCAGGTGCAGCCCCAGCTGTGTCGCGTAGTGTTGCCAGTCCTGTCGCTTTGTGGTTTTTAGCGCTGGCGCACTCCAGCCTATGCCGCACTGCACCGTGCAGCCCCCCCCCCCCCCCTTCCCCCTTCCCCCCCCCCCCCCGCCCCCCACCCCCCCCCCCCCCCCCCCCCCCCCCCCCCCCCCCCCCCCTTTTTTTCACTGCGTGACTCTTGCGGCGGTTAGCTGCACCCCCCCACATGTGTTCTCACAGACGGTGTGCAGCTGCCCTTCAGTTACGTACTTCTTGCGGCGGTTAGCTGCGCCCCCCCTTCCACACGCCCTGTTGCACTCTGTGGGCTTCAGTAGCCCTCCCACACCCGCGCGACACTGTGCTTTGGATTCTCGGCCAGCGTCTGCAATCGGTGGTGGTTCCGTTGGCCGCGCGTCGAGTGGGTCAGCCTTCGGCGTCGTCGGCCTTCGTTTCCACTACGTGCAGCTGGCGTCCCAGGCTGGTACATAGTTGTCTGTCTGGGCAGTTGCTCGGAGCTTGGCGCCGCTAGGTGCGTCCCAGTGAACGCTGAGCATTTTGCTCAGTGCACGTGCATTGCACGCCTCGCGTGGAATTTGCCTGTTCCGCCGTCCCGGACACGCCTGTTGCCGCCAGACCATTGTCGCGCGGCTGCCGACCCAAAAATGTACCCCCACCAGCTTATCCAGAAACGATTCCCAGGCGAGTTGATGTGATCAGGGAATTGCGGGAGCATAGAGGTGGACGGCCGAACCGTGCGGAGGAGGGAGGAGGAGAAGAAGGAGGTTGGATGGATGGATGAGGGAGTGGTGAGAAGAAAAATGATTATGATGCTGATGATGATGATGCTGGTGATGATGATGAGGATGAGGATGGGGATGGGGATGGGGATGCGGATGAGGATGAGGATGATGTTGATGATGATGAGGATGATGCTGATGATGATGATGCTGCTGATGATAATGATGGCGATGGCGATGAGGATGATGATGCTGATGCTGATGATGATGATGATGCTGCTGATGCTGATGCTGGTGTTGATGCTGATGCTGCTGGTGATGCTGATGCTGGTGCTGCTGATGATGATGATGATGATGATGGTGATGATGATGATGTTGATGATGATGATGATGATGATGATGATGATGATGATGATGATGATGATGATGATGATGATGATGATGATGATGATGATGATGATGATGATGATGATGATGATGATGATGATGATGATGATGATGATGGAGGGGGAGGAGGAGGAGGAGGAGGAGGAGGAGGAGGAGGAGGAGGAGGAGGAGGAGGAAAAAGAGGAGGAGGAGGAGGAGGAGGAGGACGAGGAGGAAGAAGAGAAGGAGCAGGAGGAAGACGGCGCAGGAGAAGGAGGAAGGCGAGCAAAAAGGCCAGAAGCCTTCGGGATGCCTCTCGGAGCCTCTTGGGATATCGCTTGGGCGCCTGGTGGCCTTTTTGGACGTCTTGGGGGCCTCTTGGCGGTCGGGGGGGGGGCTCTTGGGCGTCTTGGGTGCCCCGGGGGGCCCTCTTGGAGCGCCTGGGGGGCATCCTGGGTGCCTCGGGGATCCTCTTGAAGCCTTTTGGGAGCCTGTTGGGGGCCTCTTGGAGGCCTTTTGGGCGCCTCTTGGGGCCTCCTGGGCGCCTCTTGGGGCCCTCTTGGGGCGCTCTTGGGATCCTTAGGGGCGCTCTTGGGGCCATCTTGGAGGAGATCGATGAAAGAAGGGGGGAGCTTCAATTACGCCCCCCCTCGGGAGCACCCAACTGGGGCCCAAACCCGAGTAAAACCAACGATTTTGGCTTCCTCGCCGAAGCCGTTTTGGACGCTCCGACCGCTCGCGAGACGCCCGGTCAAAGTCCAGGGGAGGGGGTAGGGGGAGGGGTCACGACACCCCCCCCGCCCGCAAGCCGTCTCGCTCATTCCCACCCGCCCTCCCAACACAGACGTAGCACCCGACTCTGGCCCGAGCTTCAGCATATTCAGCAGTCGTTTTTGGATGGGTAGCTACTGGGGGCCAATCCGCTGCCGCCACCGCCGCCTCCGCCGCTGCCGCCGCCGCCGCCGCCGCTGCCGCCGCCGCCGCCGCAGCCGCTGCCGCTACCGCCACCGCCGCCGCCGCCACCGCCGCCACCGCCGCCGCCGCCGCCGCCGCCGCCGCCGCCGCCCCCGCCGCCGCAGCCGCCGCAGCCGCCGCCGCCGCCGCCGCAGCCGCAGCCGCAGCCGCCGCCGCCTCCGCCAAGTGTACTCTGTATTGTTTTTTGACAGGGATGGTGGGGGGGTGGCGCATCGGGTTGGCTGCGCATGTTCCGAATTTGGAGACAGAGTGTGTTTTGCATTGTTTTTTTTTAAGGATTGTGGGAGGGGGTCGTCATGGACCTGGGTTGGCCCCCGTTCGCCTGGGGGAGGGGGTGTTTATTAATAGGGAACAGTGATAGACCCCTCCCCGAAGGGGAAAAAGGGGGTGGAAGAAGACACACCTTACACCTCCTACGCCCTAAAGGGTTGGTGGGATTAGTGTTGTCGTTGCCTTTTTTCCAAGTCGTCTTGCTGGATTTATTACTCGTCATAACAGTTTTTGATCGCGTGTATGATTATTGATGTTCCCATTATCGTAATTCTGTCTTCTGTATCATGTACCATGCAGTATTACTTGTACTACACACTAATAACGACTACTTTTGTTATTTCTAGTGCTACAACTATTTTCGATTATCCGTAGTATTATGAATGTTGTTTATCTTCTGCGTCTTTTTTCTTTTTCTGCCTTGCCCGCATGGGTGGTCGCTCGTTTTCTCCTGGACGCCCCCGACACGAGCCGCGCCCCGCGGCGTGGGCCGCCCCCGCGGCAGCGCCCCCACGATGCCCGGCGGGCGCGCGCCTCTCGGCCGAGGAGCTCCCAGCGCCGTGTCGCTGCTGCACGAGCCGGCGGGCGCGCCCGCGCTCCGGGACAGCGTCGCCAAGCTCCAGGCGCTGTGGAAGGGGGCCCCCGAATGGTGTGGTGACCGCAGCGTGTGGGGCGTCAGTGGGAATTCGGGTGTTTCGGACGTTTTCGTCGGTTCCTGGTGCTTTTCCTGCCTCGGGATGCGCTCCAGCAGCTGCGCCACGCAGAGGGCGTTCTGGGCGGTGCCCAGATCGTTCCGAGCGGCCGCCAGAGGCTCGATTTGTGGCCCGAAGACCAAAGATTCGGAGGAGGGGGGGGCGCTCCTGGACAGCGTCGCGCAACTCTAGGCGCTCTCGGGGGGGGGGGGGAAGGGCGCACAGCGCTCGCCGTCCGCTGCCGGATGATGAAGCAGGTATTCCCAGTTCGTCGTCGTCGTCGTCGCCCGCGTCGAGGGGCCAGGGGCCCCCAGGGGAAGGGCGGTCTTGGCCGTCCGCCAGGGAAGAAGAGGAACCGAGGCAGAATTCACGGCGCAAGCATGAACCTGTCGGAGCTCCGCGTGCCTCTTGGCTCGGCGCCGGGCCTCCCCTCCCTGGCGCACGGGCCTCCGAAAGTCTACCTATACGATAGGGAGGTTCCAACCTTCTCTACTATACGATAGGGAGGTTCCAACGATACGAAATTCTACCTATAGGAAATTCTACCTATTCTACCTTCCAGGGGGGGGAAGAACCAACGGATGGCAACCTTGGTGGTTGCGATGAGGCCTTGCCAGAGGGCGCGCGCCGTCCGGAGACATATGACATATCGAGCAGGCGGTGGAAGAGATCGTGCGTAAAGCACGCTTGGGCCACACGAGTACGGTAGCACTGCTCGCCATCGCTGGAGCGGGCACCAGAAGGACTCGTGTATAGTAGTATCCGTTGTGTTCGATCTCCTGTGATTTTCACGATCGAGCTCACACGAGATCTCACCATCGATCGAGAATCACAACGAATTTCAATACGATCGTCTCACTACGGTTTATTGATCTCACTACAACTGTCACATTCGATCTGTATCGATCTCACAACCGATCTCACAACCGATCTCACGATCGATCTCACGACATATCGCGCTATCGATATCCCAATCGATCTCACCGGCGTTCAGACAATCGAACTCACTATTGATCTCACATTCGGACCCAATATGATCGATCTCACTGTCGATCCCACCAGATTCCACAAGCGATCTCACCATCGATCTCACAACAGACCTCACTATCGTTTTCACAAAGGAGCTCACTATCGATCTCCCAAACGATCTCACTTTCGATCTCGGGGCCCTGCTCTGGGACACTGACTCGCGCCGCCCTGCTCCGGGACACAGAATACCGACAGGACACCGACGCGCCATCGACGGGATACCCCTGACCACCGCGCGCTGGGGGGTGAAGGGCGGACAACCGGCTCCAAAGCCCCTATCCACGGCGGCATGATTCCTCTCGCGCCCCTATGCAGCTTCGCCTCGCCTGCACGCACGACACGAACACAAAACCGAAGCCGATTTCCCGGTGGGGGGCTCTCCGATCCACTTTGCGATGTTTGTGCGGTGTTTATCACCCCCCAACCTCCGATGTTTGTGCCGTGTCTTGTTGGGGAAGGCGTACACATCGCCATGAGGGACGGGCGCTCTCGAGGGGGGAAGGGCGCATCGACGCCTTCCAGACATGCTTGCACTACGCGCGCGTCGGCCACGAAGGGGCCACGCGTAGATTTTGTTAGTGTAAGCTCCGGGGCGGGCGTTTTCTGGCCATCTGCTGTAAGACTCGTGCACTAAATATTCGTGTCAGGCATGGGCCTCCAACGTCAGCATATAGTACTAGTATCTCCTCTGGCGTCCCAGCGCACTTTGCCGTCCGCCAAAGGAGGAGAGAAACCCAGATCTCATAGGGTAGGCTTTTTTCCATTCCGGGTTTTCTTCATCGGCAGCGGCCTCCTAGGCACGCTTTCGGGCCCCAGGAGCATGACAAATGGATCCGGAATGCAAAGTATCACCGGGGAGGGAGTCGGAACTTCTGGGGCCGCGGATTGAACACAATCATTTCGGAGGATGGTTGGGGAAGGTACCGACACCGCTATCCATCCAGTGGTGTTCGTTGTTCGGTCGGTTCGGCTGCGTTGCAGACGGTTGCGTTCGGTCGGTTCGGTTCGGTCGGCTCTTGTGTCGTTGCCGCGTCGCTGCGCCCGTTCCAGGCTGCTTGCCGCGTGTCGATGCCGGTCGACTCCGGCTTATGATGAGTTTGTTTCCCACCACCACCACCACCACGAGTTAGAGGGGGGAAGGAGGAGGAGGGCGAGGAGGAGGAGGAGGAGGAGGAGGAGGAGGAGCTCTTTCCGAGCTCTTTCAGGCCGCCACTTCGTGGCTCGCCTGCGCGAGCGCGCTGTGGGCGCGCGTGCGCAGGTCGGCCGCCCACAACAGTGCTTGCACTGCGCGCAGGCGGCGCGGGCCAGGAACGCCAACCCCAGGGGAAGCGCAGCTATCTTCGCACACCGCGCAGCCCCGCGGGCTAGGGGTCCACAGGCCGGGTACAGCTCTAAGCATTACACAGCCACAGGCCGAGACTCAGAGCATCTTCTTGTCCGCCCCCTCGTCCTGCTGCCCCGCCTTCGTGTCGCGCTCGGCCTCCCTCGCGGGGAGGAGGAGGAGGAGGAGGGGGAGGAGGAGGAGGAGGAGGAGGAGGAGGAGGAGGAGGAATGACCCCCCCCTCCTACTTGTGGTGGTGGTGGTGGTGGAAAACAGGCTCGGTCGGCTTTCGGCCCGCCGTCGCCGTGGGCGGCCAGGGTGCACGTCGGCCTGCGGGTCCCGAGGTTCGTCCCCGTGCCCGGGCCCGCCAGGGGCCCTCTGCTGGCCTTGGGGCCGTCAGAAGATGGCTCCTGGCCAGCGCCACCAAGCTCCAGGCGCTCTCGAGGGGGGAAGCGCGCACGTCGCCGTCCGTCAGAGGCAGAAGAGGAGCGAACAAGAAAAGCTGCGCAAGCATCACTTTCGGAGGTCCGCGCGGATTTCTGGGATCAGCGCTGGGCCCTCCTGGCGGCGCCTCTGGCGCCACCTCTGGCGCGCTCCGCGCTTCAGGAAGGGGGCCCAGCGCCGATCCAAGAAATCCGCACGGACCTCTGACAGTTTATGCTTATGTATATTTTCTTTTCCCTAAATGCATGTTTCTTTTTCTAGAGAAGTGCTGGAAGCGAAATCCTTTCCTCGTCATCACGGCTGGATCCGCCTCGAAGTCTTGGCCAGAGCGCGCCCAGGCGATGTCCAGAGAGTTTTTGCGTCTTGTCTCGAATTGAGATAAACCCGCCGTCCGCCTCGTCTCGTCTTGGCTTTTCGCCGTTCTCGGCGGGAACCGTTTTCGGCCTCTGGGGGCCCTCGCCAGGCCCAAGGACCGTCAAAAAGCGACTCGGGATGAAAAGCCGGTCGCTGGGAAACGGGTCTAGGCCTCTCGAGGTTGAGGGGGGGATCGGCTCGGGGGGATGCGTGATCGCCGACATGGGCCCGATGGCCACCCCGCCTAGGAGCGTGCGGTTTCGCTGTCAGGGGCCTGCCGCCGATCTATCGGCGGTACATGGCCGATCCCAGTCGATGGTCACTCCCTCAGCTGCGCCAGTAGTCCGCGCGCCCGGATGGACATCCCGCCCGAACTGTTGTGATCTCCCCCTGCCGTCAGAATTGATGGTAGGGAGGATCGACTTCCCGGTGGGTACCCCTGCATCCTTGCCTCTTCGGTGCTCTTCGGCCAATCCTCGGCCATTGTCGATGGCCAGCCCCGCTCGAAGAGCCTCGGCATGGGCGTCCAAGTTCCTTGCATCCTTACCACGCATCCTGACGATCAGTTTCGATTCTCGTTCCCCCAGGTTCACTGAGGTGGGAAAGGGCGTAGACCGGCACGAAGGAAACGGTCCCGAGGGTCTCCCCCTGTCTCTGGTCTCTTTGGCCTTCCACGTTCAAGAGGGGAAATACACACAGGGACATATAATCGCCGATCCCCCAGAAAACATGGAACATATGGTAATTGGAGGGGCAGACGAAAGTACAGAAAACTGGGGGATCCTGGGATTGGTGTCTATCGAATGGTCTTCGGCCCATCCAGTCGTTGTGCCTGGGTTGCGGGTATGAAGCCTATTGGATGTTTGTCGGGATCTCGCGGGGGGCCGTCTTGGGGCCCTCTTGGGCCGTCTTGGGCGCCTCTTGGGCCCTTTTTTGGCCCTCTTGGAGGCCTCTTGGGCCGTCTTGGGGCGATCTTGGTGGCCTCGTGGGCCGTCTGGTAGCGTCGGGAAATCGAAACAGCGAGAATGCCAACAGCCTTCAAGAACCTACGACTAATCAATGGTGTTGGCCTCTTGGGGCCTTCTTGGGAGGCCTCCTCGAGGCGTCTTGGGGTGTCTTGGGGGCCTCTTGGGCCGTTTTGGGGGCATCTGGAGCGTCTTGGAGCGATCGCTCTGCGACGCGGGGTCCTCCTGGACCATCTTGGGGGCCTCTTGGGGCCTTCTTGGGCCCGAGAAAGTCACGTGACAAGATGCGGGGGACCCCAGGGGGCACGCGACAAGCCCCTTAAGGTCGGGGTCCCTTAGTAGACTCCTCAGAACTGAGGACTGAGGTTCGAGGGATTGGGCAAACGACCTGAGGACACGCCCACTCCGCGCCCCGCGGCACGGTGGCGGATGTAGCTGTGTGTCCTTGGGTCCCTTCACACGTGTGCCGCGACTGTCAGAAACGACTCTGGGACAGCATCGCCGAGGTCCAGGCTCTGGGGAGGACGTCGTATGGCGTAAACGCAAAAAGTATCGCAGGCCCGCGAGGACCTCCGAATCGGGCGACCCACCCTTCGGGGTTGAGGAGCTTGCATCTCGCGTAGAGATGCAGTTGAGTCGAGATCTCACTTGCGGTTGGATTTGCGCTTCGAACTGCGTTTCGACTGCAGTTGGGGCTATTCTTTTCAGAACGCGTTCCGATCTGCATTTCGATTCGCCCACGGGCCGACACCGACAACCTATTTTTCTGGCCGGGGCCACTTCGTTCTCGCCCCATGGACCTCCGACCGATGCCCCCCCTCCCCATCCCTCTCAGACTCCCTCTTGGGGGGGGGCATCGGCATCGGTATCGGCAAGCTGTTCGTTCCCCGGAAGGCGCAGCCGCAGACGGTGAAGGGAAGCCCCTTCGCCATGCCTTCTCGCTGCGGGTTTCGGGCCTCGGTTTTTTGCTCGGTCGCTGTCCCTCCGCCGTTGTGTCTTTCCTCTGGCCCTCGCTCGTTCGTCTTCTTCGGGCCCTCGCTCGGCCGTGTGCTGCTGGGAGTCAGCGCAGGACTCTAACACACGTCCAAAAAACAACATCGAAGGGTGGAGGGGCACCCGTGTCGATAAGCTTGTTTGTCCCTCGAAGGCACAGCTGCAGAAGGTGCAGGGCAGCCTGCCCCCGACCGAGGGCTCAGTTTCCATCGGGGGGCCAGGAGTCCATCCACTCGTAGCGCACCGCCTCTCCTGTTGGCCGAGAGGTACCGCACCCAGCACGGGCCATATCTTTGTGTGCTGACCTCACATGCATGTAGGACCACGTGTACCTATGACCTGGCTGTAGATGTATGTGCATCTGCGCATCAATACTTTTCATCATGCACACTTCAACTCCGATGGAATATAGCTCAGGGGCGGTTACTGGTGTCGCCGCGTAACTGTGACCTGTAGTTTCGTGTGGGACATCTTCGGAGCTCTGCAACAGCGAACCACACTCACGCAGATCGCGACGTCACGGCTCAACATCTCAATTACGTTTCGCCATAGTTATTCGACATGTTCAACATTTGGCATACCAACGGCTACACATATACACACACGACACATTGCCATGCTCATTTACATGGTTGTCACGCTTGCGTGCTTGCCATATCGGTGATCTGCCACCAGCTTTGCGCGCACACACACACAAACACGCATATATGTGTATATATATGGACGTTTATACGTATTCCTTTATCATATGCAGTTGCATCCATAATCACCCCAGATTTGCAGCCCCACCGACGCCGTCACCCACCTTTCAGAGCCCAGAAGACGGTTCCAGACAGCCCCCCGATTGACCTAGGATTGCTTGAGATGTTCGGCCCCAGACCGCTCAATAATGCAAATGGGTGGCTTTGAGGGCTTCCGAACCGCTCGTGGACAGTCCCAGATTGCCTCCAGGCGGCTTCAGAAGCTCATCGGACGCCTCGAGAAAGTACCCAGAGGATCTCCAAGAGGGCGCGAAGAGATAAACCACATGTCTGTTTCATTGGTTTTCTGTGCATGCTGTCGTTTTCGTTTTTGGTTTATCCTCCGACCGCCCTAGACACCCCAAGAGGCACCCAAGATCGCCCCAAGACGGCCGAAGAAGCCCCGAAGACGGCCCCAAGACGACCCCAAAGGCCCCCGAGACAGCCCAAGAAACCCCTAAAGAGGGTCCAAGACGCAGCCAAGAGCGCCCCAACAGAGGCCCCCAATTAGCCGGGACAACCAACTGACCCCAAGAGGCACCCAGAAGCCCACCAGACGCACCCGAGAGGCCCTGAGAGGTCCCCGCGAGGCCCCAAGAGGCCCCAAGCATGGCTCCAAGAGGCCCACGTTACCATTCCCCCTCCAGAGCTACCAGGACGGCCTCGGACAGCCCCCACCCCCTTTCCAGAGTCCCTCGGACTGCCCCAGACGGGCTCTGAGTGGCCCGCGAAGGCACAAGATGGCCCCAAGAGGGCACCAAGACGGCACTGATCCTCAAGACGACCAAGACAGATAAAGACGACCACGGGTGGCGTCAAGATGGCCCGACAGGCCCCAACACGGCCAAAGGGGCCCTCGAGAGGACCCCGAACACGTACGCACCGAGGCGAACACCACCCCCAAGAGGGCCCCAAGAGAGCCTGTCCAAGAGGGACCAAAGTGGGTCCAAACCTTAGGAGGCCTTCTGAAGGAACCCACCACGGCCCAAGAAGGCCTCCAGGGAGCCCCAAACAGCCCCGCAATCGGCATATCAAAACAGCTGTCCAGAGAAGTTCCGAGACGGCCGGCCCCACGAGAGCCCGAAGAGCCCGATTTGGTTCTGACGTGGCCCCGAGAGGCTTCGAATGCACTCAAAAGGGGGGCCCAGCGGTAGTCGCGATGGGTGGGGTATGCTTCAAAGCGACCCCAAACGCCCCGCACAGACGGAGGACGAGGAGAAGAGGGGCAGGAGGAACAGCAAACGGAACACCGGGAGGAGGAGGAGGAGAAGGAGGAGAAACCTTCGTCTCTTAGACAAAGCAATTTCGCTACTACTTCCACAATTAAAATATCAGGCAAATCAGTCAGCACAAGATCTAAGAGATACGGTCCCCGAGTGGGACGGCGCACACACACACACTGCTTTAACCCATGGTTTTGGAGTGCTTTAAATGAATTCTCTCTGGCGCCGTTGAGTGGCTGTGACAAAGCCAAGACACGTGGTGAACATCAAAATCACATGTTATAATAACTCCTACGGTCTCCAAGATGGCTCCCAAGGAGCCCTTTATCCCATAGCCCTTCTTTTTCCCCCTCTCCCAATTGTCTGCCCTTCGTTCGGACTGCCCCACTTGCCATCTGCTCGTGGAGCACACACGGTCTGTTCAGCTCGGTCAAGCATGCAGGATGGCGTGCCAGCGCACGCTACTCACTCCTCCTCTCACTCCCTCGCAGATTCGCTATCACGTGCTGCCAGGAAACACACGGACATATCGGAGATATCGGAGAGCTCCATCGTGGGCTGGGCTCGGCTTCCTCGGGCTGGTCGATCGGTTCCTCGTTTTTCCCTGACTCTCAGCGTGAAGGTGCGGCCATCACGATCATTAGTAACGAGTTCAGCCATCAGTTTACCACTATTACGCACAATGTCATCATTACTGGCCGTATCCTCCATAGTCGTCTTTCTGGTCAGAATGGGTCCATCAGTATTTTCAATCTCCACCTCCCCAACACGAGCGACACTGTTGCCACGTTCTCTCGCGCGCGATCTTTGCTTCGCAACGAGTTCCTGAAGTTCCCGAACGACCACGAGATCTTGATTGGGGATTTCAATGTTGTGCCTGAGGAGGAGGGTCGGATGCAGTACGACGGGACTGGTTGGAAAGCAGGCGACCGTGCCCAGGCTCGGTTATTTCAACGGCATTTTCCTTTCCTCACTGAATTTTATCAGGGGCGGGACACTAGGAGGGAGGTCAGGGACGGGGTCATCACGCATTCGGCGCGCCTGGACAGGGCGTACACTTCCCTTCCTCAAACCATTATACGAGATCTGGACATTCGCTGTGGCGTCCTGGGTAAGTTAAAAGCTAAAATGGCCAGCGACCACATCCCGATGTTCATCAACATCGAGCCCTGTAGGCCCCAAGGTGGCCCCAAAAACGTCCCGAAGTGGATCGCGAAACACCCCGAGTTCCAACGGTTCCTGGAGGCTGCCATCGCTGAGATGTCCACGGAGCTAGGTCCTTGGCAGCGCCTCGAGCAGCTCAAGGAGCTACTGTGTTCGCCTCGGCCGCGCACGTGCGCGAGTTTGTCAAGCATGAGATAGCCGACTCTTGAACTTAAGGAGTATTTGGCGTTACAGGCACTTCGGGGATGGAGGCTAGGCAAGGATTGGATGATTCACCGTGCTTTCACATGTTATTATACGCTCCAGTCGCACTTCTGCCCTTCCACGTTTCCGTGTACCCGCCTGGATGGCCTGTGCAGCCTTATTCGTTGTATTCAAACGCAGTTGATTGACGAAGAAGCCCGCGAGCTCGAACTAGCTGACCGCTCCCCCGAAGTCAAGGCCTCCAGGAAAAACAGAGTCAATCGATTGCAAGAGCTCTGGATACGTTTCAAGAGTCGCGCTTGTCTTACTGGCGCTTACGAGGAGAATGGCGTGCCATGCAGGTATGTCGACGATTCCGCTGAGGTTATGAGGTCCTATTGGTCTACTGCGTTTTCAGCCACTCCCTTGAATGTTGAAGAATGGTCCGAAATCGATGCCTTCATCCAGCCTATCAATGAACCCCTTCCTCGCTCTTGGAAACTATCTTATGGGGAGTGGTATGACTACGTGCGGTCGCGGGTCCACAGTTTGCCGGGTGAAAAGGGTTTGCCTTATGGGGTCTGGAAGATCCCCGATGCGTCCCGCTTGCTTTATGATGTGTGCCTCACCCTTTTCACGGATGAGGGGTCACGAGTTGCCGGTTAAAATGAGGTGGAACCTCATGGTCTTTCTCCCGAAGGGCACAGAACTTCGGGACAAGCCTGCTGATGTTCTTGGCCACCCCAGCTGCACACGCCCGTTCAGTATGTCAAATACGGACGTGAAGATCCTTGCTGACGCGATGTCTTGCACGCTAGCCACCAACACCAGCAGCCTGATCTCGCCCGAGCAGAAGTGCGTAGTTGGCAGGGATATGCTAACTAACGTAGTGGAGGCGGGGGGATGGGGACTGGAACATCATGTGCTTGATTGTTCGAGCGCCTGCCTTTTCCTCACTGACTTCTGTGCCGCTTTCCCGTCACGTGCGATCCCGTGGATGCTGCACGTTCTAGTCGCGATGAACGTTTGCCCGCACGTTTGTAAGTTCTTCAGGCTCCTCTACATGTCTAACATCACCATTATATGCCTGGGAGGGAGGGTCCATGGAGAGCTCATCATGGCGAGTGGAGTGAAACAGGGATGCCCGAGTAGTACGCTGCTATTTGTATTTGCTGCCGGCCCTCTTCTTCGCTGGGTTCGTCTGAAGGCGTCGGCGCACATCGACAGGACTTTCGCTTACGCCGACGATTTCTGCTTCGGTCTCAAATACGTTCTCCCTTCCCTGGGCCCCCCCCTCGCCTTGCTGGCTCGGCTCGAACAAATTGCGGGACTCAGGCTAAACTTCAAGGTCGTGGGCTCCATCAACGTTAACCTCATGAGGGAATGTATATAAGTGTATATATATATGTATATGCATATGTATATGTATATGTATATGTATATGTATACGTATGTATGTATGTATGTATATATATATATGTATATGTATATGTATTTGTATACGTATACGTATACGTATACCTATATGTATATGTATATGTATATGTATATGTATATGTATATGCATATGCATATGCATATGCATATGCATATGTATATGTATATGTATATGTATATGTATATGTATATGTATAGGTATATGTATATGTATATGTATATGTATATGTATAGATATATATATATATATATATATATATATATGTCTGGGTACGAGGCCGAGGACCTCTGGCCAGCTGCTTCGAGTCGCCGTGGGGGGACCCCCCCCCCGGGCCTCTCCAGAGTCGCTCCGGGGCGTCCCCCGAGCGGCCCTGGACGGACCCTGGTGATGTTTCAGCACCATGAATGGTTCCCATTTTCGACCCATGTCGCCGAAACGCGTGGTAGAGGTTTCG